GTAAATTCACAGGAATCATGTCCTGTACTTTGGGTCCAGATACTTCTTAAAACCGGACCTGTTTTCTCACATCTGCTGCAGGGGGCACATATCTCTCTAGCATTCAAATCCCTTATCTGAAAAGACCAGGAAATATTTTAATTCAGTGAGAGGAAATGACTTCAAAGAAAGCTCAGTATCTGCTAAAAAATAAACCACGAGGAACAGGAACATGAGAACAACCAGAGCTGGAAGAAAGGAGAGTAACACACATGATAATTATTAAAGAAGGAAAGTTTGCAGAAAAGTAAAACCTGAAAAGGAAGAAAAAAACCACCCATAAGCCATAAGAGTTGAACCAATCTGGAAAATGTCAGAAAGTGTTCATTCTTGGTCTTTTACAGGCACAGAGGGATTTGTGTTAATGGGCATGGTGGGGATGGGCTGACGGTTGCCCTTGGTCATCTTAGAGGTCTTTTCCAACCGTAATGAGTTTATGATTCTACTATTCTAGGTGACTTGTTTCCCTCCTCCTTTGTAAGAATCAGTTTAGATTAGAAGAAACAAGTGCTCACAAACTGTAGTTGTTTACCTTCTCCCAGCTTGGTGCCTCCTGAAAAGGAGTACAGTCAGTGGTGTGCATTGCCTGAAAAGTAGAGAGAGATGGAAGGTTTTCATCCTGCACTCACATTCAATATGAGCCCCAAGCAGACAGAGCAGCTCGCTGCCCATCACTTGGTTCTCTCAAGAGTTTATCTCCACCAGTGCACATGCAGGAACTGCTAATGACCTTGCCTGTGCTGGAATTTCACCTCGCGTGCAAGCTCACATAGTCAGAAACACCCTCACCTTTTTTTCTGCTGTGGATAAAACCCTCAGCAGTCATCCTAAGCTCGCCAGGCAGCGGGCTCTCCTAAAGATGGATGACACAGATCTTAGGGAGAATTCCTGCAGGAGGTTCCCAGCATACCACACGTTGTTCAGGTTTTCCCCAGTTGCTAGAGAGAGCAGGGCTGCCACGGGGTAGAAGAAGGAGGCTTCGTTTATGAGTTTGTTTTAGGTCACGCTTGGTCCCAATAAGCATTTTTTGGCACAAGTCCCTCTTGTAAGGAATGCAAAAAATGAAGATGGCAGGACAGTGAGCAGGATGGGAAATAAATCATCTGAGTCAGAGGATGCTGAACGCCACCAACAGCCTGGTGCAGGTTTATGCACTGAGCTGGCAGCTGGATGCAAGCACACAAGGCACCATGTGCTGTGAGTGAACCAGAAAAGTGAAGAGAGATGGGGCTTGAGAAAGGGCCTGCAAAGGTGGTTCGTGCAAGTGAAGGACAAGTGAGGGGAAAGGAGGAGAGGAGTTGGAGAGCCTGCTGGAGAAATGAGGACAAAGGCAGGCCTGTGGAGCTCCGTGGCCTGAAGGAATGAAGACCTGCAGCAATGCTGGATACAAACATTCAGTAATTTGAGGGAGTGTTGGGTTTTTTGGTGCTCGTGTATTGAAGGGGTGTGGCCAGGATTTGAGACACTTGGGATCTTAGAGATCTCAAGCTGCTCAGTCAAGTGTGAATAAAGGATATTTCTGAGTGAGATTCCTTTTTCAGAATTGGAATATTGCAGTAAATTAATAATCTAAAAATACAGTTGGGAACTGTGGGAGAATTTAAACATGGATTTTTGCCAGGAGAGAACTGTGAATATTCACACCTACAGAGAAAAAATACGCAGAGCAAATATGCAAACAAACCATGGAACTTCCACCTGGTGGATTTTTTTCTTCATCTTGTTTTAGTCCAGAAGTTTTTTGTGTATCTCTGCACATTGCCTGCTTTGATGACCAGATTTGTCCACAACTTCCAGCAGTAATCCAAACAGCTGAGAATGAATAGGATTTATTTACAAGCCCCAGCCAACACACAAACCTGTTCACCATCATTCCTGTCATGGGCTCCATCCCTTCCTCACCCTCCCCTGGCATCTCAGGTAGGGAACTCGTAGAGATTGGGATCAGCCTCAGAAGCTGAAAAAACAGAAAAGCATCTTTCTTTCTTCTCCCACCTTAGTTCAGGCAGCTAAAGCTGGCTTTTTCTGGTTGAAGTGTGGTGTGCTTGGCACTTCTGCATAGATCCACCATTTCAGAGTCTGCTGGTTCATCACAAGTTTTATTTTTTTCTCTGTAAACTCTAAATCATAATGTGCCATGTGAGCTAAAGGCCCAAAAAGCGAAAGGTAAACTTGACTAACCTTAACTGGAGTACTGCGTCCAGGCCTGGGGCCCCCAGTACAAGGATGTGGAGCTCTTGGAGTGGTTCCAGAGGAGGGCCACTAAGATGATCAGGGGGCTGGAGCACCTCTCTTATGAGGAAAGGTTGAGGGAACCGGGATTGCTTAGCTTGGAGAAGAGATGGCTCCAGGAAGACCTCACTGTGGCCTTCAAGTACTTGAAGGGAGCTTATAAACAGCCGTTTACAAGGGTGGATACAAACAAGGGTTTACAGGGGTGGATAGTGATAGGACAGGGGGAATGGTTTTAAACAGAGGCAGGGGAGGTTTAGGTTAGATATTAGGAGGAAGTTTTTCACACAGAGGTGGTCACACACTGAACAGGTTGCCCAAGGAGGCTGTGGATGCCCCATCCCTGGAGGCATTCAAGGCCAGGCTGGATGTGGCTCTGGGCAGCCTGGTCTGCTGGTTGGTGACCCTGCACACAGCAGGGGGTTGAAACCAGATGAGCATTGTGGTCCTTTTCAACCCAGACCATACTATGATTCTACGAATCTAGCTGGCTTAAACTGCCATTTGTGTCATAGGTCAGTAATATCATTTTCAACTGGTAGGAGCAGTGAATATTGCAGGGATCTATTCAAGATAGTCTCAGTTTCTCTTCTCCTATAAAATCCTGCTGTATTTTCTCTATTTTGAGAGCTGTGCTATAATCTCCGCATATTTAGATGTTGCAAGAAGAAAGAGACTTCTGGGTCTGAAGCAGCAGACCAGAAGAGGAAATAATATTTAAATTTACATGCTACCGTGATCTTAAAGTTTACTGCAGTCTGTATCTCCAACCACATCCATATGCAGAAGTCTCTAGCGTGTTCCATACCTGGACATGTGGCTTATTTCCAGAGCTACCTGGCCTGCAGAAATAACCCAAGCAGGAGATCTGTAGGCAGGTGAGCAGCTCTCTGCAAAGCTGCTATGGCTGAGAAGTTTTTGGAGGGATTTGCCCAAGCGAAGATAGAGGCAGTGTGCTGTCCCTCCTCCCCCATTCCTCTTTTCTCTGCTGTTGCAGTAGGTAGGGATTTGCAGTTCTCAAGAAGGAGCATTCAGGCAAGTCTTTGCTGTTGCTGCCTAACTAAATCTTTGGATTTATTTAGCTATTTGTTACATACACACAAACAAACAAACAGGAAAGACATGTATAAAACAAACCCAAATCACTGACACATGTGGTGCCTGTGCTCTATCCACGTCCTCAAGTCTCACAAAAAGGGCTGAAGACAGAAGGCTTAAGGAAATGGCGAAGAGTCCAGACCCTCAAGGACAGTCACCTCCTAGCTGAAACAGTGACCTTTCCACATGGTCTTCCCTTCTGAAAGGGCTGATCCATGGGGATTCTTCTTTTTGAACACACAGACATAAAGAAAACCCCTCTGTGCTTCAGGCACCTGATTCTCCTTCAAGCCTTTCGCCCTCTCTGTCTCCCCCAGTACTCCAGTGAGGGAGCACTGACCTGCGCACCGTCTTTGCATCAGGGCTCTGAGCACTCAGACCTTCCTCATAGTCCCGGGGGTCCCAGATAGAAACCTTCATTTCCCCTTCCCAAACACAGAATCACGAGCGAGAGTAAAATTTTTTTTTACTTCCACTTGTTTTTAATTGTCATTTTTGGCAAATATACAAAAACAAGGAATGAAAGTAGCTGGCAAACTGTCACAATCTGAGACAGCACACCTTAAAATGCTCTACCCCAGAGGATGTTTGCACAAACATGTAACTGAAGCATTCACTCGTAAAGACACCAGATCAGCCTGTGCCGAAGTGAACCGCAGTTGAACTGACTGGATTTGGTTTGGAGAGCACCTTGTTGGCATTTTTCACAAGACTTTTGCCTTTTTTTATTGCTGCCTGGCCTGCCTGATCTGGGGATGTGGGGTGGGGAGTGCAAGGAGGACATGAGCACATCAGTGTAGACAGCAGGGTGATTGAGGGGCGTGGGACAGCCCCTGCCACAAAGCCAGCTGGAGCACAGGACCCCTTGTATTCTGCACATATTCTAGTGAAATCCTGTGTGAAGCACGTGCAGATTTTGATGGAGTTGCTCGTGGAATTTTTCATGGTCTGGCACTTCTGAAGGTAGAGAAGAAGCAGTAGTTTCACAGGGAGGTAGGTTTGAACACGGGCAGCACATTGCAGAGGAGTGAGCTAGTCTTTCATTGAGCTTGGCTAGCAGCAGACTTTTCATCTGTGATATGTCTTTGCTGCTGACACATTTAAACTCTTAGAAAATCTTCCTTACTTTAAGGCAAGGAGTGATGGATACCAGGAACAGAAGTTGAAAGATAAAATATATTAGAGAGTTCTGCAGTCTTCTCCCTTGCTGCACCCGCCTTTATTGGTCACAGGAGGTTACAGCTTTATTCAGGCGGTTCTTGCCAGAACCTATAGCATTGTGATTTACTTTCAGCCTAGTTTTAGAGAGGGCCTTTTCTGGAGCAACTATAGATGGACATTTTCCTCTGCGATTCTATCACAGAACAAATCAGATTGTGTCTTATCTTAGCTCCAAGGATTTCTCACACAGCAAAATAAAGGTTTTACCTCAGCCAGGAGACATTTAGACAGCAGAAGAAGGGACAAGAAGTGTGTGACATTAGTGTGTCATGTTTTCTGAGGGGCTAAAGCAATATGGAAGAGATAGAGGGAAAGCTTCAGGTCCCCAGTGGCACAAGGTGAATGGAGCAGGAGATGAGTGAATGCAGTTTCAAAGAATGCTTCATGGTAAGGCTGAGGATGTTGAGCCTTCAGTATGCAATTCTGCTCCAGTAGAACATGGTTCCGAGGAGGACGCAGAACTGAAAAGACAAGACTACTGAGTTTCTCTTGTCCTCATTCCTGCCCCACACCTCTCCCCCCAGTCCCATGTAATCCTACTGATAGGAGAGAACAACAGAAATACTTGATAAGCAAAGTTCATTCAGGAACAGGGAGCCTAAAGCTCTTTTATCTGCACAGAAACTTCGCAGTGCAGGAAGATGTGTGCAGACATAACTATTTGACCGGATCACTCAGCTCACTGGGGATTATCTGTCACGAAACTGCTGAACCCCAAGTATTTGAAACACTTCTGCAAAGTCTTCAAACTAGAAATGGAATTATCTCTCACCATCACAGTTTAGATGTTCCAATACCCTCTGAAAACAAGAATCTGCAAGCTGTTTGTTATGCTGTGTTACTAAGATTGCAGCAGGACACTGCAGGCCTGAAGGCCATCTAGCTCCTTCAGCGTGGTAGCCAGGGATGACGGGAAACATTAGCATGTAATCCTGCTAGTGGAGCAGGCTACAAGCATGTTGGTGAGAAATAAATATCATCTTTAGATATTTTTCAGCCCTGTCATCCTCCTCCACCCAGGTGGGTGTGGAATAGTAAGGAAAGAGAAGAGGAAATAAAAACAAAAAGTAAGTACTCACAGTCCAGCAGAGGATGGCAAAACCAAACCAGGCAACACCCCAGGCTTGCCTGTTCAGTGGCCCAGAAATAGCATCGTAACAACCCTGTAAGGCAACCATGCATGAATCAACACAAGCTTTGAGCTTCTGTTCCTCAGTTACAAGCTCATCCATCTCCAAGAGAGAGTAAAGTGGCATGATCCTCTCCTATTGTTATTTGAGTAATTCAAAAAGACAGGCCAGAACCACACTGATTATTGACAACTTGCAGATAACCTGCATGTTTCTAACTCCAGATACAAAGCAGACCCATCTTAAATACTTCAAGGACAATTTTCCACTTGCTGAACACAAAGACAGTCAACATAGAGCTGGACTCCTGAATCCAAAAGGTATAGGCAAGTTTGGAAACCTGAACATCTTCTGGAAGTGCTTGTTAGTGGAGAACTTCATGCTCATGACCCAGCAATCAGTCTGAACAGGAAAAGCTGGTTAACTGTAAAGTTCAGCAAGTGATGTGCTCAGTAAATGGATCTCACTGTAGGAAGCACTTCTCTGAGATGCCCTACTATTCATTTCCTGGGGCACAATGCCAGAGGATAACCCTTCTTCTTCTCTTGCCATCTGTTCTCCATTACTTTTGACAGCTGCCTAGAGGAGGAAAACTGCTGTCTTGCTCACTCATGTATGCACTCATCTTTGGGCAGTGTTTGATTTAGCTGATGACCACCTGCGTGTATGAGGTACTGCTTCATATCGGTAGCAGTGGAATAGTTTTCTTCCAATTCACACATTGTTAAGTGTGGCCTCCTCACCTTGAGAAAGGCATTAAGGCACTGAAGTGTGTCCAGAGTACGCCAACAGAGCTGTGGAGGGCCTGGAGCACAAGTGTTATGGGGAGTGGCTGAGGGAACTGGGTTTGTTCAGTCTGGAGAAGAGGAGGCTCGGAGGAGACCTCATCATTCTCAACAATTCCCTGATAGGAGGTGGTGGTGAGGTTTGGATTGGCCCCTTCTCCTGGCTAACAGTGATAGGACAAGAGAGAATGGTTGCAAGTTGAACCTGGGGAGATTCAGGTTGAATATTAGGAAACATTTCTTCTCAGGAAGAGTGGTGAGGCATTGGCACAGGCTAGCCCAGGGAAGTGGTGGAGTCACTGTCCCTGGAGGTGTTGAAGGACTATGTAGATGTGGCACTGAGGGACATGGCTTAGTGGCCATGGTGGAGATAGATTGGCAGTTGGACTTGATAATTTTAGAGGTCTTTTCCATTTGATTATGTGACTATTCCTAATAGTCAGAAAAGCCTTTACCACAATCTGTGCTGTATTCTACATAGTCAGGAACCTACAAGCACTGCTGCTTCTTCAGAAAACTTTTGGACACCTGTAGCTTACAGTAAAGCAGGAAGGCTATTCCCTATTTCCTTTCCATCCAGCAAGGCACTTTAGACTAACACGTGAACTGGCAAAAACAGAGAAAATCTTACGTTGCTGTTGTAGAAGCCGGGGACCCCAAGCTTGCAGCCATCAAGATTGATGGGTTCACCTCGGTTGTCCATGACACAGCAGTTGTGTGGCCAAGGAAAGTCGGCGTCGTTGTGTGTCACGCGAAAAGCAGATGTGTAGTCCTGCCAGTCCGAGGGCCCATTCACCCCGCAGCACTGGTTCTGTGGGGTGAGAGAAGGAAACTTCATGGGCCAAGGTCACAGCCCTGCACAAGGCTGGCCCCTACGTATGGTTAGGCATTAACCACAGATTTATGGGAGAGATTTTTGAAGTGCTTGGCTTTGCCAGCCTGCCATCTGATAAACAAGCAAAATGGAGAGTGTGTCAGGAGTTTGTCTAAGGTTCAAGGCAGATGCTATCCTTTTTATTACTGAGTGGGTCTGAGGAGGATTTGAAATTCCAGAGCTGCAGAGCATTTAGTAATTAGTGATAGTATTCAGTGTTATTATTACCTGAAGCATGAGATTATCCCATGTCTGTGTGACCCCTTCGGTCATCCATTTGTCATTGTTATTGTCTGCATCTGATTTCAGATACCTTTCCAGCATTTGTTTCAGGAAGAGGTTTGGAGTAAGCTGCAGGAGAAAACAAATAAACAAACAACAGCAACAACAAAAAAAAAAAAACATCAGAAAAGAATGAAGGAACGATGTAAATAAGTGGCCATGCAAAGCAAATATGTGGGTGAATTTGCACGCTTCAGTATCCAGCTAGAGAACTGGAATGCTGTTCCCCCCACCACTCCCAGTTTTACACAGAGGAGGCTAAAGAGCAAGATGTAAGGGGCAGGAGCAAGAAAGACACAGAGAACAACTCTTAAGCTTGTCCTTCCAGATGTCGGATCAAAGGAGAATGCAGAAGCCATGGGTTACATTTGATGTTGCTTGGAGCTGAAGAGCCTCCAGGTCATTTTCCCCACAGATATCTGCAATAACCCATGTCATCTTTTCCTCACTAGGAACACTGCCTGTTGTGATGCTGAAGGTTTGTATGAGAGATTAATCAGCCTCTAGCTGAAAGACTAAACGCTGCATTGATGATTCAGCAAACCCGTACTTTTATTTCCTTAGCTGCAAGGTTATAAGCATTTTGGAGCATCAAAAATAGCAAAACTCTGTTCAGAACAACAAAGATAACTCCTTCATTAGAATGAATGTTGGATACTTTCCTTGTGGGGTCTTACTCAAACTCAGCAGCAGTCCTTTGAACTTACATCGTACCACCCACCACACAGGCCATTTACTCCACTAAACAGGAAACAGCATGCCGTAAAACTGCAACATATTCCAATGCAGTTGCATGAAGATATGAGAAAGGCAATACTCACAAAGTCTCGGTGAGTTGCTGCCGTGATGCAAGAAGCCATTTCAAATGCATAAGTGATCAGCATCAGAATAATATACTGTTGGAGAGAGAGAGTAGAGTCAGCTATGGGAGAAAAAATTAAGCAGTTTATTCCCATTCTGTATTTTTCAAGTTTAAGCCCCACACCCGGTTCAAGCCAAAAGAACCTGAGCTGCATCAGTGTCCCCAGTCTTCTCTGTTCATCAGAACATTCATGTAGTCCTTATCTGTGCTCATTTCAGTTTGCAATCTTATTTCCTGAAGGTGTACGACCAGAATTGTAATCCATCTCACAGACATAATATCATCAGAAACTTGTTGAATGGCATTAATCCTATTCCATCTTCATGGATGATACTTTGCTCAATATGCCCAAGATGAACATCAGCCATTTTCTTTGCTGCATCTTATTGGCAAGTTATTACTCTGTTTGCAAGCTGGAAGCTTCTCAGCAAGAAGCCAGTCAATCCTAGTGGGAGAGACTGTACTTCAGGGAAAGAGAAGGTGCAATTTAATGTGTTGTTCAGATCCTCCTGACTCATGCTTTGTAAGGAAAGGACCTTCATGAAAACTGATTCTCAAGAGCACCACTCACAGTTTGTTTCACTGCTTCTCTTCCCTTCTCAACGCAATCCCTTTCAGTCTTTTCTGTATTCCCTGTGCAATTCTCATGCCTTCATTTTTCCTCTTACACTTCAAAATGTTTTTCCCAGATTCAAGGCATTTGTTTTCTTCTTTCACTAGCTTCTGCCCTGTACTACAGCCTTGGGTTTCAATCAAGACATCAACATTTAGAGTTAAGGAAATTCTCTTCCATCACTTGTTACTGGTGAATTTTCTGGCACGAGAGCTCAGATCTCTGTCTCCTCTTTAAAACAGACACCCTGCCACCCTACATTAAGCCAAGATAGAGCTGACTGCAGAGTTTTCAACTCTACCCTCCCTTAATGTGCACACCAATTAATTTTAACTACTGTCAATCTAAGTTGAGGACTGAGTAAGAAATTGTAGAGGTTTGTTTGCACCTTAACATTGTTTTTGGTGTATTCAAAGCTATCTATCCTCATCCCTGTAATTTCTGTTTGCTTGCTGATGCATAATGTCAGCTGCACCCATTTTTGGTACACTAACACATACTAATGCCTTGTAAAGAAGTCATTACTTATCAGCTCCTAAACTAAATGGTACATGACAGCTGAAAGGCAGTGTGAAGAAACTAGAATCTAAACCACATCCCAGGTGCATCTGATTGCACAAGTGCTTTTGCAGGGCTTCAGAGCCAGGTCAGGGTCAGGACACACAGTTTAAACCTTCATTGTGGTTACTGTCATTGTGGTTATTGCTATTAATTCCCCCACCCTAGTTTCAGAGCTTCTCACGCATGTGTCCTCACAGATATCACCTCGTGGGAGAACACAGCCAGAGACAAGAAGAACGTTTGGCTTCTCTTCACCAATAAAAGCTGTCTTTACTCGGTCGGTAAATACCAAGACAAACAGGGCAAATAAGCCAATATTTTTTAAGTTTGGCAGGAATGAACGGGCAAACACTGCTACACTTACCACCAGTAGCAAGGTCTTGTTGGACTTTATGACTCCAATGATGCCGAGGATAGACAGAGCGAGGAGTGCAAAGCCAACAAAGATACCAATCCAGGCCGCAGCATAGATGTCATCATTTTCTGTGGCTTCCAGCAGAGGGTAGAGGCCATGGGGATCTGACACAAAGAAGATGCATTCTGCTGTCAGGGCAATGCCGCACATCTGAGGAGCACAAATTAGGGAAAACTGTTAAACTGAGGGAAAGAACAGAGTCGTGAAAAGAAGACTGCATTCATTCTATTCAGCCTCCTGCCAGCAGGAGCTCCTCAACTCCTCCTGTGCCCAACTCTGCAACCCCTTTTACTATCCTTAACACAAGAACTGCGAGCAAAACTCACCCAGCCTGGACCTCAGAAGTCAGGCCTGGAACTTGAGAATGTTAAGAATAAAATTAACACAAACTTTCCTGTCACTTTATGGAAGGAGTTGGCTGGAAAGATGTTGGTCTACAGCAAGGGCTGTTCCTCTAGAGACAAGCTGGTCTGGTGGATCAACCCCTGCCATTCCTTCCAAACTGACCTACCAGAACAGCTCTCCTTTATCCCTTGCCTAATGCTACATTGCTCTTTTTACTGGTGGTCTTCACATGTGAAAAGGGATTTCTTGGCTAGGAAGCATTAAGAAGTGTCACACTGTAAGGAAGCTGCCACCCATCCACATCCCACTTCACTTACCCCAATGACCACATTCCCCAGGATTAATAGACCCTGACAGATGCGTATGCCATTGTCAGTTTTTGCCATCTTTAGATCTTCATGCAACCTGAGAAAAATCAAAGACAGTCGTCAGTTAGACCAGTACAATAGGCTTCATTTAGAAACAGAAATTACCCATGAAGAGAAGATAGACAGAATCCATCTGTCTGTACTCCTCCCACTCCTTGCTTCATGGTAGTTTTAAAGGAAAAACCTCCTGAGGCATGAAGCTAATAACTGAAATGCTCTCTGATAGTTGAGCTACGCAAGAGTGGGATGACTGTGCACAGACAGTTGCTTCAACTCACTTTTGGCTTGTTTTTTCGGTGACACACCAGTACCCATGCAGACCCCTAGCACAAGCACAGCTTATGGTGACACATTTCCATCTGGCTGGAATCAACGGCTACTGGGATGAACACCAAATGAGTTCAATTTCCTCACCTCACTTCTCCTTCAAAGAAGCCGGATTTATTCCATGGCACATCACACATCTTATTGGCCATTCCCTTTTGGCCAGCACTAGCATGGAACCAAATATAACCATAGAGATAGAGCTATATCCCACATGCATACTTATGGCTCAGGGCTTGCCATCACTTACTAAGGATATTTCCCTCTTCCCCCCCCTGCCGAGAACTGAAGCTGGGGCCCCCATTCCTTCCCAATCAGGTATGAGGGACAGAGCTGCTTAGGCTGCAGCTGGCTTGTGGGAGATGGGCCAAGTAGCATTCCCATCAAATTCCTGAGAACATTATATCCTGCAGGCTGGGCCCAGGCACTCCACCTTAAAATCAGCTCCCTCCAGGGAGAGCGGCATAAAGGATTATTCTGAGGTGTGAGACCTCTTGGAGAAATGAGCCCAAATTCCAGAGCTGATGAAGCCCTTCTTTCAAAGGGACAGAGCATGTGTGTGCATGGCAAGGAAGAAGAACTCCAACCCTGAGATAGCTGCATGTGTTGTGTCGTTAAGAAAATACAGGCAATGAAAGAAAGGCTGAAGCGGGCCCAGCTTGAGCAGGCAAAAGGCAAAAAAGCTTGACTTTCCCGCTGGAGTACCTGCACTTGAGACCCCTCTTCCTGGGGCTACCAGCTCTGAGATGCTTCAAATAAACTTTTGAAAAAAGTAGAGCAGACATTAGCAGCTGCTAATGAACCATGAGAAGTTGAAAAAAGTCAGAATTTCCTATCACCATTTCTGCAGCAGTTTGAGGTTTTGGCATGGAAAGACCTCCATTGCTTTTACCACTACACAAGCAGCAGCAGAGCACATAGGTATTTTTCCAGGATAGCACAAGTGACAATTATTTCCCAGATAAGAAGCCATTTTTACTCCCAGCCAGGTGGTTGGAGGCTGGCCCAATACATTAAAGCTGCATGATGCTGTATTTGAATGTGGATGGCAGGCTGCCAAACTTGCCCTATTTATTACTAGCCAATATGTCCAGGAGTCACACACAACGCCTTGCTGGTCAGAATCATAGAATCATCAAGTTTGGAAGGACCACTAAGATCATCATGTCCAATTATCAACCCATCACCATCGTGCACACTAACCATGTCTCTCAGGGCCGCATCTATGTGATTTTTGAACACCTCCAGGGGCAGCGACCACCATCTCCCTGGGCAGCCTGTGCCACTGCATCACCAATACTCAGGTCTGGGCTGGGCAATGCTTGGCCACATGTTCTCCAGATCCTGACAAACCTGTGACAAGCACTTGTCCTCTACATATCTGAAAGCTGTAGAGGCTACAGCCTAAATCCTTGCTCACAGTCCAGAAATTTTAGAGAAGCCTTTAGTTATTACTGACTAAAGGTCATCACAAGTCAGGGGGCAGTCCAAAAAGCAACGATATCTCCCTGATCTGAACACAGGTGCACAAATTCTATCGCATGAAAAACTGGGTCTGCTCCAGCTGCCATGCAGAGAGCTGGGTTCTGTGTCATGTTGCATCATTCCACCTGTGATTAACAAAGCCACAATCCTTTCCTTAGCATTACAGAAATTTCTTTCTCTTACCTTTCCCTCTTACGGGAACCCCTGCATTGTAACAACAGCACTGAGACCAAAAGGATGCCAGATCTGGCTTGCTCTTGGCTTTGCTCTTGGCACAACTCAGCCTTTTTTTTAATAATTAATATGAAGACTCTTGCACATGGACTCCCCACCCAACCCACATGCTTCCCAGAATTTCCCTTTCTTGTAACCAGGACTTGACTTGCTCTTGCCTCTCCTGGAGCAGGTATTACTGTAGGCAAAACAGTCTGAGAAAGAGGGCTTGATCTGAAAGCCTCAGTGGGGCTGGTTACATAAAACAATGCACAGAGAACAGGAAATGGAAAAAGGGCAGAAGAGCCTTTATCATGGATCTAAAAACGAGCAGTGCAATGGAAATCCCTCTTCCACTCCCTTCAGATGGACCCGTATAATCGGGATGCAGGGCTGGGGAGGGGCTCCAAGGTCATCACAACAGCTGGATCTGATGACAGCTGAGAGCCAACCCTCCAACACACCCTAGAAAAGAAGCTGCAGGAGATGTAGGCCTTCCCACCCCCTTATGCCTCAGAGGTAAGCCGCATTAAGCCAAAGCACTTAGGGCAGGTGCACGAATACTGAGGCAAAAACCAACCTCTGGGTTTGCCTCACACAGAGGCATGACTCACAGCCACCCACCCAGAGCGACACAGGGAGGCAGTCCCTCCCCAGGTACCAGCAGCTTGTGCCTGAGGACAGAAATAATTTTGGAAGTAGGGAAGCCTTCTGTGTGGGCTGGTTAAGGTTAGTTTACAGCCCAAACAGTTTCCTGGGGCTGCAGGCAGATGTTACTTCCATGGCCTGAGAGCTTTCTCGATTTCTCCTCCCTTCTTCCACTCACAGTGGCTTGCAGCAGGTTGTGGGGGCCAAAAAGCAAGCTCCTTTCTGCAAAGGCTGGCTCCTGCCCCTGAGTTAAAGATGACCAACACTATACAGGGTCACTACTTGCACCAGTGCCTTGATTCAGGGGCAATTCAGTCTTTGGTATATCCCTAACGCCCATTGGCCTGATTGAACTTTTGAAGCCTCTGCATCCTACTTTTACAGGTTGAAACAGGATTTCAATAGCCTTACAGATGAACGTCCCTTGCTTTCGTTTGCTCTCACTCCATTTATAGCCAAAAACGCCTATGAATAGAAATTGGCTTGGCACTTGGCACTGCCTCATGCAGAAGCAGGCTGTTTTCTGATTGCCTTGTGTTTTGTGCCAGCTGTGGTGGAATCACAGAAGTCCAGCCAACGGACGTCCAAAAACACACCTGTAAGCATCATGGGTTTCTCCAAAGTGACAGCACTCACCCCAGCATTTGTGAAGCACGAGGTACTGCCCTCCCTTCCACCAGAAGTATACAGTCTCCCTCCTTGAAGATACCCAAAACCTATCTGGACATGGTCCTGTACAGCCTAGTTTGGGTGGAGGAGACTTTCAGAGATCCCTTCCAGTCTCAACCATGCTGTGATCAACTCTGCACTACATATCCCTCTCCCTAAGATCTGGGGAGGCCTTCACCACCACTGCTTTGCTATCAGTGGGAGGCCAGAGGGAGGACACCTTACTCCCACCACAGGCCGCAGTTGGGGTACTCGAGCTGTTGCCCACCATCACAAGCATGGCGGTACAGGGGCTGGGACAGATTGGTACATCTGGAGAGCAGCACGAGGAGAGATGGCTGGGCTCAGCTGAGCTGTGCCTCACCCCCTGCTCCCACCCCACGTTTCAGCATGCCTGTGCATAGCATGGCATTCTTCTCCTCTGGTGTAAGGAAGCGCAGACAAGGGGCCCATTTGTGCAATTCCCCATGGGCTCTGCAGCCTTCAGATGCCTCAGTGGAAAGGCTCAGAGCCATGTAAGCGCAACCAAACAAACACGGCCTTTCAGCAACTGAAGCCTCAGCCTTGCCCATGGGCCCTGCCCTGCCCTTCACCCCATCCAGCCACCTCTCCTCCTATCCCTCGGGCTTGCCTGGGCCCAAGGAACAGACTGTCCCTACAAGCACGATAAGTGACAGGATGCCAGGGGAGGGAATTTGGCAAGGTGAAGCTGCTGGCTGTACTGGTGCCATGGGACAAGACTCCCCCGGTCAAGTCACAAACCCCAAGCACAGACCCCAGACACAGGCCCCTTTCACAACTCCACACCACAATGAGCTTCCATGCAGCAGGACTTGAGTAAACAAAATTCATTGTTATTGTCGTTAATGCAATTAAATAACTTATCAATGAATTCTTGGACCCTGCTGCATAGAGGCAGGGTTGAGGGTGTCGGTTGGCCATCTATTTATCCTGAGGCGAACACCTCCAGCACACATACTCTCCTCTGTCATTGCCCACCTGCCAGAAGCACACAGTCAGCCCAGGCAAAGAGCAGTGTGGTCACCAGTCTCCAACCATGTTGAAAAAGGGAAGAGCCAGCCGGTCATTTTACACTACCGGGGGAGAAATGTAAAGCAAAAACATACCTCAGCATCAAGCAGGGGTCAGAGACTAATTAAGTTTCCTTTGGAGAGAGATTGCTATGAAACAAAGCCTCTGTGTACAGAGAGGCGGCTGGTAAATCATCAGGCATAATTACCTCAGATATAGAGCTGGGAGGCAGTTTTTTCCTCTCTCCCTCATTAGTTCAGCAGAACCAAAACAAGAGATACTTTTTCTTGCCTTTCCTATTTTCATAAGTGAGGGGGATTTGTCTTTCTCAACAGTGACTTTTTATGATACTCAAATATGTTGGCAACAGATCTAATTTTCCCATTCCCTCCTCCCAAGTCTTTAGGAGAAAAAAAAAAAAAAAAAAAAAAAAAATTAAAACAGCCATACAGAAAGTAGTGTTTGCAGTAGAAGAAAAAAAGCAACTCTTAACAATCTTAGGCAGTTAACCTCATACAGGTAGCAGCCTCCCTCATACTAAACACAGCCCAGAGGCTCAAATAGAAATCATTTAACATAAAAACCTCTTTTTCTTGTAACTGATGCTTTTTGCTTCTTTGTCTGCAGAGGAAGACAGTGACCGAAGC